GTTTGGCGGTGTGGAGGTCCGTCCCCCCCCCCCCCAAGCCGCGGGGGTGGTTGGGGGTGGGGCCCGCCGCCCCCCCCCCCCCCCCCCCCCCAAAAAGGAAGAAGCGTGTATAAGATAATGGATGGATATTTATGCAATTTTATTACATTCATCACAGTACGATTAGATCCCAAAATGTTTCCAAATATAAGCCGGTTTAGCCCATCCAAACCTTGTTTATATATGGCTCTAATCCCACGTAGAATTAGCAGATATTTATGATACAGCTGACTCTCACAGAGAGAACATTATGAGTTTTGGGAGAAACAGAAACTACAGTCAAAGGCACACTTTTGCTGTGATCTTGGACATACTAACACGTGTCTTCATTGTGAAACTGTTTACAGCTGTGGCAGACATCACCTGTTTTGGCACACCTGCCCACTTCAAGCTGCTTACATCGAAAACTGGACATACCTTCAAGACAAATGGCTGCGCTCGAGTCCAAGCTTCGTATTTTTTGCAGTAAAGTGGACATGACTTCAGGAACTACGGAGAAAAAGAGAAAACACGAAAGCATTTAAAATCACTTTTGATGCCGCTTTACCCGTCCCGCAGTTTGGTATCGAAGTCTGAGAGCGAAGTTTATAGCTAATTTCACTTTCGATACGCTAATAATATGACATTTACTCGTTCAACCTAAGCTAGGCTACTGAGTTACTTACTGCAAGATAAGTTAGCATTCACACAAGTAAACAAAGTAATATGTTTGAGCTTTAAATCCAATTTTCGGTGATTGCAACGCAGCGCTTCACGGAAAAAGAAAGTAAAACTGATTAAAAGGGGCGGGGATTTTCTGTCTGACGTCATGACGTAACGACGTTCATTTCCGCAGGTTAGTCTGTGGACTCATTTACAAGAGACCTGTTTTAAACAAAGAACACAGATGAGGGACAGACGACAATAGACAATCATATAAAAGCATATAAAATGAAAAGTAAATTGAAGAAATGATACAAAAACGAAACAAAAACAGCTACATTATAAAACGATGTAAAATACTAAAAACAGGAACATGCCTGCGTTGGTTTTTGCCATGAACTTAATTATTGTTTAAAATCCCTTGGAGTGGTCAAAGTCGACAACTTCAGATCTTTTTGCAAGGTGTAAGAGAAGGCCCTTTTGCTTAAGTTCGGTCCACTGAGGGTACACTGCATGTTATGTCTTGAGAGCGCACGCTGTAGCTGCACTGACAAAGTGACATGTAGGAGGAAATATATAGAGGCAAAATATCTAATGTGTGAAAGTGAAAGTTTAAACTTTTTCTTCTTTTTATAAAAATCAACTTTCCTGACAAAACTCTAGTCTGCAGCTTGTTTCTGAAAGTCATCGAACCTGTGTTTAAATCACACAGGACAAAATTCATCCCTTATAGCAGTTAATTCATCCCACAGACTTCTTTAAATACGTTTAATCCCGACAGCCACAGCCTATTGCTAGTGTAGTGGACTAAGCCTACGTCGAAACCCAGTCTAAGGTCAAAACTCTTGACCTTTAGAACCTTGTGGGACAGAAGCTGTCATTTCATGTATTTGACTCCATAAATACAGGTTCACCCATCCTGAGACTTTCTTTCTTGAAGATTCAAGTGAAAAGAACACTCTCTTTTTATTATCATTACTATCTTACAAATGTTGATAATCAAAGTGTCTTAGTTCAAACCATTTTAGATGTTGCAGTGAACTAATCAATTTTATTAACTGAGTAATGATTTTATTCTCATGTTAAAAGCTGTGCAGAGTTTATGCATTTTTCTGATTTCTGCTTTTGAATGAGCAAGTGTGTGCGTTTACAAGGTTACAGTCAAACGAAAAACAAGTTGTTATGTTAAAACTGTCATGTTTTAGAATCCTCTCAGACGTAAATAGAGATGTTTTGCACCTGTGTCTTAAGGCACGCCAAAACAGAACCCTCTCGGTCTGTGAGAACATTTCTGAGCTGTCTCATAACAATTCTCGCTGTCTCTAACCTCTTACGTCACAAAAACACACCCCTTCTGGTCGTTTCTGACCAATGAAAAATCCCAAAAAGTGAACCGGGAAAGAGCCTTTAAAATGTCAGTACTTCCTGGTCTACACAGACTCACAGGTATGCAGACAGACTCACAGAGTTTTCGGAGAGTTCGAGAGTTCAGAGTTCTGGAGTTCTGATGGAGTGCTGTGGGAGTTCCTGGCATGACAACAAAGCTCTTCCGAGTTCCATGGGATTATAACATTTTCCACTGAGGTGAATGTGTGTCGAACAGAGCCTCGCCACTACTTCTGACGGGCAACAGCCATTCTAAGGAGACGCTGGACCGGTAGCGTTAACGGAACACCATATCTGCTGATTATCATCAGAGAGGTAATGGGTCAAGTTTCCTACCAAGCGTACCGAGGCGAGCTGGGCTTCTGATGGAGAGTGTCGGTTCTGGAAAACACTTAATTTCCCTCACACACCATCCTTTACTCCCCCTAAACTTCTTTCCATCTTTAAACTTTCCTATGAAGTAGAAATTCTCCCAGATATTTAGAAATGTCTGTGTAAAGTGCTTATTCACATCCGTGTGGGTAAAAGTCATAGTTGTACAGTTTTATACATGTCTGTGGTGCAGCAACGGAAAAATCATGGCCGTATGATTTTTCCTGATTGATTGCTTTGTTGTTATTTTCATAATTTGCCAAATTAATGTAAATGTTTGATGTTAAATTTGATTCTGTAAATAAATGACCGCATTCATTTTGATGGGTCAAATTTAAATGACGTCTCACGTTTGCATTTCCTTAAATTCAATGCACGTTTTATTCAGTCCAGAAAAATGAGGAACTCGCGTTAAATGATGAATATATCCCAGCATCTGTTGATTTTTGCTAACCGTACGCGGCCTGATTTTGCGTCCTCCTTCACTGTAGCTGCTTTTGATAAACCCTGCAGCTCCTCATGTCTTTGATCGTCATCAAGGTCATGCAATTCCTCCAATGTTTTGCCAAGAATTGGATTTGTTAAAATGTGTAAGGCTGTCTGGACCACATCCTCGGATTGTAAGGGGTCAGTGTTTCCCTCTCCGTCCGCCATTATCTGCTATTTAGAAATTAAATAGTAGATGTAAATGTTTAGGTGGTAAAATAAAATCAGAAAATCTCTTTTTCCTGATAAGCTTTACTCTTATTTAGTGATTTATCATTTAAACGTGCGGTATCTTCTAGCAAAATGAGTAAACTATTCAACTCTGTGAATATTTGTAACTGTATCTTATTTAAAAGTTTCTAAATTTTTATTATGTACCCGTTTCTCAAGGATTTACCAGTGAATAAAAATTTGTTTGGCAAAAGCTCTCAGCATAAATACCTTCATAACTTTTAGAATGCAAGATAACAGTGTTTATTCAGCTTTGAGGAAGTTTTTTAACTCCAAAATTGCCTTTCAGGAAAATAAAAACGTTTAATGTCACTCTTCACCTAAAAACGAAGTGAAAACCTGTGATCCCACGTCTTCTCCACAAGATGTCAGCAGATCCTCAACAATTTTAACTCAGACACTGTTTGTGTCGTCCACTAGGGGTGCTATAACTTCCTGTGGCGTCCGGTCGTTAGCTTGTTAGCTAAAAGTAGCATCGGCTTGCTTCGGTGAAAACCAACACTTCTGAACGGATTTTTTACACAAACGTGGCAAACTTTCAGCGAATATGCTTCGAATGAATGTAAACAGCGTTTCAGAACACAGCTTTAATGCGCTTTCCAGCGTTAAAAAGCAGATTTTATTCCCTATGAAAACGAATTTCATTTCCGGGTGACGTGAATGACGCGTCCCTCATCCAATCAGAACGTTACACACGGTCTTTCTCAACCAATGACGCAGCGTAGGGGTGAGGGGAGGTGACGTCAGTCAACCGTTCTCAGCAAATCAGAGCTTTCCAAAGCAGCAAACAACCAACCACGAAGCGTATTCCCCAGCTAGCAAGTTAGATTAGCGTAAAATAGTTCGTCACTTTTTCGTCTTTTAAACCATCAAAATGCACTTTTTCTGTTAAAAATTGTAACGAAACAACCCCCTGAGCTGCACAGAGAACGGCGCTCCGTGACAAAACGTCTTTCTAGCTATTTAAAACAACTCGTTCGAAGCTCCAGAACCGAGTCGGAACCACAGAACCGAAGCGGACCAGAAGCGTCCGGAACACAGTTTAAACAGAATGAAGCGTTTCCACAGCTCAAAGCCAGCTTAAGTTACACATACAGACGTACAATTCAGCTTTATAAAGACTTGTGACTCAATTTCAGCTTCTCTGTGAGCTTTCTGAGCATCACAGACCAACACGCTTAAAAACATGCAGCATTTCGCTTCAGGCGGTGCAGCTCCAAGCGCGCAGCTCCGGCTGCGTAAAGACGCACGGTTCAACTGTTATTTTATAACACATGCCAACATGAAAATCAATTAGCACACTAGTTACAGTCCATTTATGAGCACGTGACGGGCCACCAATTGTAGATGAACAGATGCTGGGATATATTCATCATTTAACGCGGATTCCTCATTTTTCTGGACTGAATAAAAAGTGCACTGAATTTAAGGAAATGCAAACGGGAGACGTCATTTAAATTTGACCCATCAAAATGAATGCGGTCATTTATTTACAGAATCAAATTTAACATCAAACATTTACATTAATTTGGCAAATTATGAAAATAACAACAAAGCAATCAATCAGGAAAAATCATACGGCCATGATTTCTCCGTTGCTGCACCAACAGACATTTATAAAACTGTACAACTATGACTTTTACCCACACGGATGTGAATAAGCACTTTACACAGACATTTCTAAATATCTGGGAGAATTTCTACTTCATAGGAAAGTTTAAAGATGGAAAGAAGTTTAGGGGGAGTAAAGGATGGTGTGTGAGGGAAATTAAGTGTTTTCCAGAACCGACACTCTCCATCAGAAGCCCAGCTCGCCTCGGTACGCTTGGTAGGAAACTTGACCCATTACCTCTCTGATGATAATCAGCAGATATGGTGTTCCGTTAACGCTACCGGTCCAGCGTCTCCTTAGAATGGCTGTTGCCCGTCAGAAGTAGTGGCGAGGCTCTGTTCGACACACATTCACCTCAGTGGAAAATGTTATAATCCCATGGAACTCGGAAGAGCTTCGTTGTCATGTCAGGAACTCCAACAGCACTCCATCAGAACTCCAGAACTCTGTAACTCCGTGAGTCGTAAGTCACTCTGGGTACCTGTGAGTCTCTCCGTGTCCCTGTGAGTCCGTCTGCATACCTGTGAGTCTGTGTAGACCAGGAAGTACTGACATTTTAAAGACTCTTTCCCGGTTCACTTTTTGGGATTTTTCATTGGTCAGAAACGACCAGAAGGGGTGTGTTTTTGTGACGTAAGAGGTTAGAGACAGCGAGAATTGTTATGAGACAGCTCAGAAATGTTCTCAGAGACCGAGAGCGTTCTGTTTTGACGTGTCTAAGAAACAGGTGCAAAACATCTCTATTTACGTCTGAGAGGATTCTAAAACATGACAGTTTTAACATAACAACTTGTTTTTCGTTTGACTGTAACCTTGTAAACGCACACACTTGCTCATTCAAAAGCAGAAATCAGAAAAATGCATAAACTCTGCACAGCTTTTAACATGAGAATAAAATCATTACTCAGTTAATAAAATTGATTAGTTCACTGCAACATCTAAAATGGTTTGAACTAAGACACT